TTTTTTGGTTTAAAAAAGTTGTTTGCACTAATGTTTTAATGGAAAAAATTGAATCCTGATGATTATATTAATACACTATCTTATGTATTAGAAAGCTTGATCAACCCTGTTTTACTGTTTTCTAACATTAACAGTTAGAGCCAGTGTAGTGTAATGGTTTGAGAATTGGGCTAGGACTCTGGAGACCAGATTCCGATTCCCCACTTAGCCATGGAAACCCACTGGGTGACCATGGGCAAGTCAAATGCTCTCAGCCTCAAGGGAAGGCAATGGCAAACTTCCTCTGAACAAATCTTGCCAAGAAACCCCATGGGTCATCGTAAGTCAGAAATGACTTGAAGGCAAACAACAACAACAACAACAACAACAACAACAACAGTCCAATTGTATTAGGCTTTCATACGATTGAGAGCTTTCAATAAAACTTTGGCAATTTTATTGACAAGCTGGTAGCCTTTATATAGGCGTATATAGGAGTAGCCACAGTGTCAGCTGGAGGAGGCAAAGCAAGCACTCTGGACAGGTACCTCTAGTGAGATAACAATACGCACACACTGATCCAGTGGTCTGTGTTTAGCAGTACATCCAGATATCACATAATTTACTGTAGCTTTGATCAAGGTCTAACATTGAAGGGCTTCCTGGCAAGAGAGTCCCGAAACCAGACAGGCTGGAGGACCATAATGCACCCTGCTTTCATTAAAGAAGATTGAAGTGATTTTGTAAATTGACTTGAACAACCAAAAGGAAGATGGAGTCTTACCCAGGGAAGATACAAGCTCCAAATTCTCCTCCATCACTTGTCTATGAAGGGTTCTTTCATCTGGATCCAGCAGGGCCCACTCTTCCTCCGTGAAATCCACAGCCACATCTTGAAAGCTCACCTGATGAAAGACACATTATCCATGAGCTAAACATGCAAACGCAAGTCTGAGAACAGAATCAAGTAGTTCGGGATTGTCCAAAATAATTTAAATCTTTATACAATGGCATTCAGAATCCCATCGGTGGGCAAAGAAGAAGAAATTCTGTGGAGACCAGGGAGATGTGCAGTAGACACAGGCTGAAATAGGCATTGTTCCCCAACCCTCTCTCTTAGCTGAGGGAGTGAAGGTTCTTTGCTTTATGTCTGACAATTTGTATCTAGCCAGGGATCCTCAGAGTTTACCCATTTGATCATCTCATCTGCTAAGTTTGTAAGCAACAGTAGTGTCTAGTGGGCAGATCAACACCAATAATTAGCTTATGCTTATGCAGTTACACACTTTTTGGGACAGGATCACACCGGATCACATCACACAGTTATTTACAGTTATGTGTGATGTGATCCGGTGTGATCCTGTCTAGGCTTATATCTCTTAGTGTAGAATTTACCCAGGCTAAACATAGCACTTTTGCAGATATTAGGTGGTTTCTTAGAAAAAATAAATCTCAGACTTATAAGCCACCTGGTACTATTAGTACATTGAACATGGTACTAACAAGGTTGCAGCAGTAGGAGCAAAACAGAAACTGCTCCTTGTTCTCTGCCCTAGCAGACTCCCCTCAGGTGCTGAGCTGGAGGTTTTCTGGGGCTGAGAAGCCGTGTCGCTGGGCATGTGGAGACCACAGAAAGGAGGGGTGGGTGGGAGAAAAGGGATGGGTGGGAGGCACGCGTGGGAGAAAAGGATGCCAGGGAGGAGCCGGGCCGGCTACGTGCGTCTCCCCTCCTTTTGCAGCCCCCGTGTGCCCAGCAACACAGCTTTGCATGCCACAGATAGCATGTGTGTCAAGCATTCGCCAACATGGGTATAGCTACTGTACACTCTGTCTGTACAGAGAGTATTGATAACTCTCTTTGTTAGACTGACATTTTACAGTACAGAATGTGGTAAATATAGCATTCTCACCCACCCTAGGGGCCTTGCACCATCTTGGTACTGTCATGAGACTAGCCTCAAGCAGATCAAATCAACTTGCCCATATGGAGCTTGCAAATAGGCTGTTTACATTTCTTCAATGATTTACTGGGCCCCAGAACAGCCAAATTTAAGAAAACCAAACTGCTGGAGTTTCCTGCTACCCAAACATAGTGTTTATCATACATGGAAGCTACTTAGTTCTGAGCCATCCCTGTGTGATCTCAGATTTCAACTCTGTTAGAAATCAGTGTTTCTTTCTCTCCCCCCCCATTTTTTTTCTCAGAGTTTATGAGAGAACTATGAAGCTTTGTTACTTCTTTATTAGTTTATCTACCATAAAACCTATATACAAACCCATAGAGCTGAAAAGGACCAAAAAGACCAATAATGATGCATTCCTGACATGCTGGAATACATAACTAAAGCACTCATTATTATTATTGGCAGAAGACTTATTACAAGGCATTCAGCCTCACCCCTCTATGGCCCATCAGGGATCCTGACCCTTTACCTTAACCTGTCTTACAGAAGATGTTCTGAAACCATCATCTTGGAAAGGTGTGCTTGTACATTCAGGTTGTGTCCTTATTCCATCTCCTGAGGGAACAGATATGAAAAGGAGAGCATTATTTCTCATTCAAGTCTTTTCATACACACGTGAACATTGCAAATGCCACAGCATATACCCTAAAATAATTGGAAGGTAACAGCAGAATGAAAGTAATCCTGAGATTGACAGGGGTTCAAAAAAAATGAATAAATGTGTAGTGAGCTGGGCCTCTGCCACCAAGTAGATGGGTTTTAATGTCCCTGTTAGCATCATACCTCAATGTGAACAGCTGTCCAGTGGCATGAAAGAATTAACTTGTATTAGCGGTCATGTTGGATTTTTTTTGCATTTCCTTGGCAGCTTGAAAGTGGAAAAAGACAGGAAGTCTGGGAAGGGAATGGGGAAATAAATTTTCCTCTGTTACTAATCCATGATCTATGGGCCACACTTGTACACTTTGGGTTTGTTTGGTTTTTTGTTTGTTTCTGTACCATATAAACCTTTGAAGCCCATTTGCTATCAGTGAGGTATGACTCAACCCAACCTGCAACCTGCAATGGGAAATTTCATCACTGTCCAGGAACAGTCTGAGGGCCTTTGCAGACTGCCAGAAATAGTGCACATTAAATTGAGGCACTGCCCTGGCTCAGTGCTAGGGAGTCATGGGAATTGTATTTTTTTCTGAGACATTGAGCCTTCTCTGTCAGAGAGCTCTGGTGCCACAATAAATTACAGTTCCCATGATTCCCTAGCACTGAACCAGGGCAGTTCCTCAATTTAATGTGCACTATTTCTGGCAGTCTGCAAAGGCCCTGAGTAAAATTAGTATGGGGACTCAATTCTTTCATTGACTATAAAGGATGCTGTACCCTATCAGCAAAAGGGATGGATTACTTCTCTGCTGCGCACCAACTACTGCAACATTTATGAATAAAGCTTAAGCTAATGAGAGCCAGTGTAGCATAGTGGTTTAAACACTGAACTAAGATTCTGGAGACTAGGGTTCGAATTTCTGCTCTGGCCCATTGCCCCATTGCTCTGGGGATGCCAATGGCAAACTTCCTCTGTACAAATCTTGCCAAGAATACCCCATGATGGGTTCGCCTCATGTCACCATAAGCTGCAAATGACTTGAAGGTACACAACAACAACAACAGCATTAACTTGTACTAGTGTTTGATTTCAATAGAACTTTTGGAGAGGCTTTGAACCACACATAGTATCAAAACAAGACAAAGTACATGCAAAACAAGCAAGCAAAGCAGGCCAGGGAGAATTAAATGGCCACAGAATGTTAACTGGTTGCAGGAAAAAAAGCACAGAAATTTGATAGAGAAAGGAATGGGATAGAGTTTCTATAGGAGAAACAGTAGAGAACAGATATGTATATATACTTAAAAAGAGATTGAGAATAATCTTTGGACTGGTCACTTCTCCCTTCACAAGGAGATTTTTTTTAAAAGGGGGGGAAGTGAGAGCTGCCTGTTTCAATCTATTTTAGTTTGAAAGGGAGGAAAATCAGCCCACTCAGAACTGAGGATGCTCAGATAGAAAGGGATGCAGACAGACTCTTCTGGAAGGAAGCAGTGAGGCTGAGAAAGGGAAAGGAACTGAGTGGCTGGAGTCTTGCACAGATCCTCTCCACACTGCTCCATTTTGTTGCAAGTTCCTGCTGGTATCTTATAGTTGTTGTTGTGTGCCTGTTGTGTGTTCGCTTTAGGGTTATGGAAACCCTAAAGCGAACCTAACATGGTTTGTTTTTTTTTTTTTGGTAAGGTTTTTATTCAAAGGAGGTTTCTCATGGCCTTCCTCTGAAACAGAGAATGTGACTTGCCCAAGGTGACCTGCTGGGTTTCTATGGCTGAGAGGGATCTCCTGGAATCCTAATCCAATTTTCAAGCCATTACCCTATACTAGTTTAACCAGGGTCAGCTCCCAAAACAATGCACAATGAAACAGTATAAGTTTCTGTTGTTTAGAGACAGTGGACGAATACTTAAGATGTTAAGACAGAGTAACATTAGAAGTGGAATAGAGATAAAAGTGAGGAAAACATGAAGAAATATTTGGAAGGTAGAGATTTAGGAAGTCTTTTTATTGATATATGTTATAATGATTGAATTAATTAAAGTAAGGTAAAGTAGTGTAATTGTAGATGTTAGTCTGTCAGGTTTCTAAGATTTAGTTTGATTTTTAGTTTGTCTTTTTATGATTTTTGTACAGTAGTTGTTTAAGAAATGTTGTGATATAAAAAATAAAATAAAAAGAAACAGTATAATTAGAAATCCATTTGGTATGATTCCATGAAATAACAGGGTGGTGAGGAAGAAAGGTTTTCTGGTTCTTGCAATCAGCCTAGGCTCCAAGCTCTTTCCTTCCCACAGATGCAGCCCTTCCATCAATCTTTTCTTCCATATACACATGGAATTTCAAAGTGTTTGGAAGGACATCAAATATGTGAAAGTGCTGCAATGCACACAACTCGGGCCCAAAACAGACAGGCCAAATAAAGCAGCTTCTGGCCACTTTGGGGGCATACCATTCAGATGACACATGCCCCCAAAGCAGCCAGAAGCCATGCCAAGACTACACTAGGGGCCGAAAAGCTGGCCCAAAAAGGAGTTGATTTAGACTGACTCTTGGCTGGCATGGCGTGAAACCACTGGGGGTGGCCCATTGTGAGAGAAGGCTGTGCAGTCGCCACAGCCTCAGCCCACTCCTTTCGGCCTGCCTGCTTCGCCTGTCAGATATTTTGGGCACACTCAAGAGGAAGGGGCTAAGCTCTTACCCACTGAGGTGGATGCTCTCTCATAACCATCCATGATACACTCGTTCTTCACCTCAGTTGTCTCTTCCACAAGGAATGCCTGTACCGGAGGAAGGATGGGAAAGAAAAAAGAAAATTAGGAAATGTAGGAAAAGGAAAAAGACAAGGTCTGAGTGGACCACTTTGAATGATTTCCAGAAAAAGTAAGAAAGTGGTGGAGAGTTTTACAATAAAGATATATCTCAGTTAACAAAACAGATGTGTTCTTGGGCATTTCTTCTTTAACAGAAAATTTGGTACCAGAGGCAGAAATAAAATGGAAAGAACAGAGACAGGTTTCTGCACCACAAAAAAGCTGACTTTTAATTTGAATCTAACAACAGACGCATGAAAAATGACAAACCAGTTCAAATTAACTCTCGCAAAAGGAAACAAAAACATTTTGAGGCTTCTAGAGACCACTTAAAGATTTCTTCCAAAATGCACCATGCTATACAACCTGTATATAAATAGCGTATAAATAGAGTCATTCACCTGTGTTGTGTTGTATAGTACAGAGGATTAGAGGCTCGTTGTGGTTCTTTCACAGTACCCAAGTGTCACAATGGCTGGAATTAGCACTCTATTTTAAGTTGTACAAATGCAGTCCTGGTCACTCCATAAACCTGAACACCCAGGCTTTGGGCTATCAATGTTTTCTAAACCTTTGCTGGATACGTTCATCACAATGGACTTTACTTAGGGCCTTTGCAGACTGCCAGAAATAGTGCAAATTGAGTCCACTTTAACTGCCCTGACTCAGTGCTAGGGAATCATGGGAACTGTAGTTTATTGTGGCACCAGAGCTCTCTGACATAGAAGGCTCAATGTCGCAGAAAAAAATACAATTCCCATGATTCCCTAGCACTGAGCCAGGGCAGTTAAAGTGGACTCAATTTGCACTATTTCTAATAGTCTGCAAAGGCCCTTAGTTATCCTCTTTTTCTTTTATATGCATTAATAAAGCTATACTTTTGGACTTTACAATATGTCTTCTTAACTGAGGAAGACTAGATGCCTGAAGAAGAGAAGCTGAGCTAGTTGTTGGTAAGAGATACAAAGTGGATCACAGCAGCCAGCTTGTTCTGCAGACTCTGCTGGGTATCTAAGAGCATCACTGCAACACCCATCATCTACACACATTGACAAGGGCTGGGTATCTAAGAACATCACTGCAACACCCATCATTGAGACTGAACCTGTGTCTTCAGAGGGAGTTTAAACCCTTGCAACACAGGCTGGTTTCCTTTTTCTTGATCTCTCTCTCTCTCTCTTTTTTTTTTTTTTTTTACTTACCAAGATCTCCCATTTTGTGTCTGAATTAAACATCGATTACAGTTGGTCCTCCAGATTTGCAGCTTTGGCTTTTGCAGATTTGATTATTTGCAGTTCTGATTAATATGTTCTCCAGTGCAACCCTAAGTTCTCCAGTGCAACTCTGCCAGAAGTTGACATTATAATTATGCTGAAGAACCTAGAAGTTCCTAGAGAAAACACTTCTCTAGGCATCTGTAGGTCCTCCAGCATGATTCTATGATCAACTTCTGGCAGATGTTGACCTTAGAGTTACACTGGAGGACATGGAAATTCCTAGAGAGGTGTTCTCTTAGATAAAAAAAATAGTGCTTTTTTATTTGCAGTTTTTCCACATTCGTGGAGGTCCTGTGCTTCTAACCCCAGCAAATGTAGATGAAGAATGTTTAATATCCTTGCAAATAAAAATCCCTAACTTTTCGAAATCACCAGATGAAGCCCTCTTACCTGCTGCCCCTCCTCCTCTGCCTGGCTCAGGAGGAAACCTTCGGCCAGGGCCACCGCCTGGGAACTGCTCTCTGCCCCACATTCCTTGACCCAGAGGGCCATCTCTGGGGGAAGGAGGGCCAGGAACTGCTCAAGGATCACCAAGTCCAGGATCTGAGCCTTGGTGTGCCTTTCTGGCTTCAGCCACTGATGGCAAAGATTGTAAAGTCGGCTGCAAACCTCTCGAGGCTCCAAAGCCTCCTGGTAGCTGAACAGTCTGAAGCGCTGCCCATCTGAACTCAACACATCCTCCCTCAAGCTCTTCTGCATGGTTCTTCCCAAGAACTCTCCTCTGTGCTTACCCCAAATAGAGGAGGGCCTTCTCTTAACCCCTGGTTAGCTGAGTCCTGCTTTTCTGTCTTTAATCAGTTATTCCAGGCACACTCCAACATGGCCAAAGCAGTACTTTTCTCCTTTGACAGATTTTGTTAGCCACAAACCAGGGCAATCCTACAGTATTGCCTCCTTTCAATCGGAACCCCTGCTCTAACAATTCACTGCTTTTCTGGCTTTGCCTTTCTTTCTGCTTCTTTTAGCTTGCCTCTTAGATTCTGCAGACAGAAATGGCCCTTGCTTTCTAACCCTTCTGCAATGCCGAAAGGAACAGGTGAAGATATTTATTTCGCTAGCAACAAGATTGCTTTTCCTTTGCTCTTTGGGCAAATGCCGCAGTTTGCACAGTTCTGTCCTCCATCAGAGGGGAGAGGAACAGCTAAGAGGCAGCCACCCAGCATCTGGTATCAGAGGTGACTATTCCAGCCAGCCTAACTAAGGAAACTGCAATACTCCTCTGACTCACAATAATCATATTTTCTGTGTCTGCCTTCAAGTACCCTGACAACTTTTGGTGAGCTCCATGGGTTTCTTAAGCAAGGAATCTTCAGAGGTGGTTTTGTCAGGTCCTTCCTCTGAAACATAGCCTACAGCGCCTGCTGCTCATTGGTGGTCTCCCATCCAAGGGCCAACCATGACCAAACCTGCTTAGCTTCCAAGATCAGACAGGACCTGGTGCCTCGCCTCTCCTGGCCTCCCTCCCCTTGCCTTACAGGCCTAAGGGAGAGTCTCCCCCACAAAACCATTTGTCCTCCCCCCAAAAAACACAAAAGCAGAGGGACAGAGAGCCCACCTTCAGACTCTTTTCTTCCCTCAGAGAGACAGCTGCCAGCCTAAACGTCACTCTCAACCTAGGCCCCGCCCCTTCCGGCTATAGACTGGCGCTTTCTAGAGCAGAGCTGAATCGAGCCTCTTCCCTTCCTCAGAGTGGCAGCTGTCACTCTCGGTCTAAGCTCCGCCCCTTCCGGCTGTGGACTGGCGCTTCCAAGAGCGGAGTTGAATCGAGCCTCTTCCCCCCCTCAGAGAGACAGCTGTCACTCTCAGCCTCGGTCTCACCTCTTCCGGCTATAAACTGGCGCTTCCT